GTCAAGCGCGAGAGACGGGAAAAGGTGCGAGGGATGTTTCCGGTGATTCTTTTCATACCGGTTATGAGTAAAGTCTCCAAATGAGACAAAGTTGCGAGTGAAGGGGAGAGAGAGCCTTCCATGTAGGCTGTTGGTGTAGGGGTCTGGAGAGTCAATTGGGTGACCCTTCCGGAGAGAGGGTGGCAGACCACACCTACCCAACCGCCACTGCAGGGGTCGGACGCGTTGGTCCACGTGCTCAGACTTGCGGTTGTGTCGGTGGAGATGGCGTTCTTGAAAGCCACAAGAGCATCTCTGTCGGATTTCCAGCAATTCGATTTGGCGGAGGAGATTGTTAGTGTGGTGGCGATGCAGATGAGGAGGAGGAGGAGGAGGATAATACTGAACCGGGATTTTGGGGCTGCCATTTGAGGAATTATGGTACAAGGAGAAGAAAGTTTATTTCGTGTTTTTATAACTAACTACTACAGGAAATGTTTGTGCGAGCTGGAAAGGTCGTTTGGATGGAAATGAGGAGACATAGTATAATATAATATGATATAAAATGACCTGAAAAGAAAAAAGAGAGGTAGAGAGAATGGGCTTTAAATGTACAATTATGTACAAATCTTTGGCTTCTCACATAGATTAGACACAATAGGTATAAAAAGTAACAAATAAAAATGGTGATCGAGTAAAGAGATGTTTGAAAAATCACTAGTGGATCTTGGCCTGCCTAATATCAGATATGGGTTTGAAAACCGTGTGTATGCCCCCCTTCTTATATAGTAGATTTTTTGTTCCGGTTGGTAATTTATTTATTTATTTATTTATTTATTTTTATTTATTTTTTTTTTTTTGAAAATAAAACTGATGGGGTGAAATTGAAATGTATCACATGTAAATTTTATGACCGTTTCATGTTTTTCATCTTTTCACGAGGGATCTGAATAACCTTTGGAACGTTGGAGCGCACTACATTCAAAATTCTTGTCTATTTTCTTTCAACCTTTTCTACACCAATTCGACTTGGTGGTTGTTATGTGTTTCTTATGCTTTTGTTTTGGTCCATAAATTCCGACTCCCTTTTCATCATTCTTGATGATTTTGTACATCTTCTTATATGATCGATGTTAGTTTTAGATGTTTGATGGTAAGCCACTTTGGTTATGTACACTATTGACCAAATTGAGTGTGTGAAAAGTACATATGTTATGTTCGTTGGTACGTATCCCGTGATATGCATAACTAAACAATATTAGAGTTGAATTTATAAATAAAATATAGTGTACGTACAAAAATTACCACGTAATAATTAAATATGAAATTCATAATATTATTTGTCTATAGAAGTAACTCGTATAAATATTCATGAAACTTGATAACCAAATGTTTATCAATCTAAAGTGTTCTATGAAAAATTAATTTATGTAAAATCATTGTTCTGAAAATCTGACTGGATCTGACGGTTGGACAGAGAACCAGTCATCTGACTGTTCCGCGCACGAAAAAATTGGTTACCAAAGTGCCAATCAAATCGGTCAGTACCACATCATTTTTTATTTAGTTTTATATTTTATGTATATTTTCAGTTAAAAAAATATTTTCAGTTTTACATTTTATGAATCTTAACAAAGAACATATAAACTTTATAGGTCTAAACTTTTCATCTCAATGAAATATGTATGAAAACTACATAAAATTTTCCATACATGTATAAGGGGCACACACACAAATCTATTTTGATTTTGATATAGTAGGTCTAAATACACCTTAAATCATATCCTTCATCACTACAATTTATTCTTAATTTGTATTGTTATAATCAAAATGCGATAATTTGAATTAAGCCTACTAAACAACGATGATGTGGACGATAAGTCCATACGACGAAACCCTGAAGTCCCAGAGTATGGCGCCAACATAAGGCTTAAGGGTACACGGAGTTAGACAAAGACGCCATCCTCAGTATTGATCTCCTCCTTTACTCTAATCTCGAAGAAATCTTACATTCTTTCATAAATATATTTAATTTTACGGAATGAAAATACTTTGTGATTCATGTAGTAATGTTTATAACAATTGGCAATATATATAAAGATACTAAATTTATAAATCTATGAAAAATTTAATTATTTCTTGTCTTATGCATATTCATAAATAATAAAATAGCACGTAAAACTTTAAAATTAACTAGTATACAATAGTATGCATATTCATCCGAGAGCTGTTGTTTGGCTTAGACCCGAGCCTCCTTGGGTTAAGCTAAACACTCACGGATCCTTTGACCGACTTACCGGAGCCACCGGAGGTGGGGGTCTGATTAGGGACCATAGCGGTGCTCTGTTAGAGATATGCTGTAAAAGCTATGTTTTGCAGATTCTATCGATTTCATTTTGATCTGGCCATCATATTTCAGTCAAAGTACATATGTTTGCAGTTTATTTATTTATGCAAATCATACTTCATGTCTTATATTGAGATAGCGTGGTTCGAAGTATTTCGAACAGAAAGATCACCTATCGGTTCCTTATAGGACTAAATTATTCATTCACAGTCTAGACAGGCAGTGAGAACCCTCTTGGAAAAAGACTGTAGTGTATTCTTGATTCAGTTGGTCTTTGACTGAAGAATTACACTAGCACTTATGTTAAGTGTTGAACAGGACCACGAAAGGATAAGGTTATGAGCTGATCGTTGTTGTAACCTAGACCTTCAATGATTTATGTGTTCTCTTAAGCTGTAAGATAATATAAAATAGGCATATATATTTATCTCTTATTTATTTAATTTACCAAGTGATTCCTATTTTATTAGGATGACATACGAGGTATTTTGGTAAATAAGAATAATTATATGATGTGCTATTATAAATTGTTTATGGTCACTATGTTCCAGTGCACTGAATGGATGACGTCCCCGAAATGAGCTCAGGAATGTACATTATGTTAAACCCTGCAGGTAGACGATTGTCTGACATAATGGTTAAGGTTCTGAGTGGTACTAATTTTGGAAATGAATAAGAAGTTGATTAGTTATTTTGTTAGTAATTTAATTAATCAGCAGACGTTATATCTTAAACATAGGGAGGTAAATCGATCAATCGGATTAATATTATTTAATCATGGAGGCTCAATTTTATTGGTAAAATAATGGCTAATTGGGAAGAGCAATAATATTACTCTAGTGAGATGTTTTATTATTCATTTAAATAGGAATTAATTTTATTCCATATTAATTAATTTAATTAGGAAAATAATATTCGTACTAGAATATTCTCTAGGGATTAGGAGACTAAGGAGTCTTCTAGAAGATAAAGATTAGTAGGAGAAATATTTCCTCAATTAGACTATTAATTGGAGTAGAATTAGGTTTCCTAATTAGGAATTAATTTTATTCCACGATTATTAATTTAATTAGAAAAAGTATTCCTACTAGAATCTTCTCTAATGTTAGGAGACTAAAGAGTCTTCTAGAAGAGTTAGATTAGTAGGAGATTTCTTTCCTACATTGAATTAGTATTGGAGTAGAATTAGGATTTCTAGGCCTAATGGGATAAGTCCATATTTAGCACCTCCTTAAGGTCCCTAATGGAGCCTATAAATACACCAAGTCCCAACCTCTTGTTCATCATTATGCTGGCCGAATTTTCACTCCTACATACATGAGAAATAGCATTGTTCGAGAGTTAGGGAGATTCGATTAAACGCTCCACCAAGTTTAATCGAAGTAGGTGTTTAGGTAATCCGTTAGAAGGCTTTTTGGTACAATATACTTGAGCCTTTTATTTCATATTTTCCAATCATCTTCTCCCACCTCATCGTCGCCGTCCGCCGCCGCTGACCACTGCTGGAGATAGCCCATCGCCGCCGGACATTGCCCGAGCCCAGCCGAGCGCAGCCGCCCGCTACCGCAAGAAGCCGCGCATCGCCCAGGCCTTGGCAGCGACGCCCAGCGACAACCGCAAGCACGCGTGAAGCAGCCCAGACCCGCCCAGCTGTTCGCGCATCACACGCCGCCTATCGCCACTCGTGCAGAAGCCCAACGCACGCCAACGACGCGTACCATTCCTTGCGCGACCAGAAGACGTGACTAGGTGTTCAGTTCATGACCGCAACCCAGCAGATGCGGATCCCAGACGCATAGCCCACTCTTGTGAAGTCCAGCATGTAACACCCCGCCTAGACTTACTAAAATCAGAGTAAATTTTTCGCGCTATAAATGGAAAGCACTGATTTAATTTTCGAAAACTCATATTAATTTTTCAAGAATACTTTAACTTTAAACGCGGGATGCTACTCAACTTTAATCTTATATCTTTATCTCTTTAATCTAACATGCATGCGACCAAGTAAATTGATTCTAGAATTAAGGCCATGAAGAATACCGGATAAAACATGCATTTCTGAAAATCTGACATAATCTGACATCTGAAATAATAGTATGAAATCTGACATTTGAAACACAAGTCTATCATGCGGAAGCAAGTACAAGTTCAAAAGCACACAAACATAAAACAAACATAGATAATTGAAACATGTTCAAATACTATATGACATGTTTTCACAAAATGTCCTGAAGCTGACCAACACCACATAACTGCTCACGCTCAACGCGGGACTCCATCACCTGAAAAATAGGGTAGTGGGGAGGCGTGAGCACAAAGGAATCAACAGTGCTCCGCCGGAACTGGCACTGAATACTCAGCACAATTAATAACAAACTATGAAATCAACATATATATGAAAAAACTGGTCTGGCTATGGGACTAACGGTAAATCGGTACTCATGTGCACACTCTGGGGGTCCCCTCCCACAGAAATCCTGGAAAGGCACTAATCATCCCATCTGGACGCTAGACTTAGGCTGGGCATCGCCCACTCAACCAAGTCACAACTGACATCTGACATCTTGACCAAGACGGGATCACTCATCCGCCTCGGTCCTTCAATTTAATCACATATAGATCTCAGACATGGTAAATTATTAAAAGCGATGAAATACACAGTACATGGTCCCCACCTGGAAAACGACAATGTGGATGCTGAAATATCTGAAATATGCTGTGTAGCAGGCGGAGGCTCGACTCTCCTCAAGCTACAAATTATGAGCGAAATATTCTAAGTACTAGGCTCGGAATAAAACTCAAATCTTTAATATCTGTTGTCTAGGTTCGCTCACTCTGCTTTAACAAAAATCATTTTAGGGATTTACGAGATGATTTTAAAAATATTATTGTCTTTGAGGCATTCTAGAGTTATCTGAAATATTTCTAAGTCTGGAACTAAAATCTGACTTAATCTAATCTGTCTAAAATCTAAAATATATCTGAATCTTTAAACTATCTGAAATCTTAACTTTATCTGAAATCTTAACTATATCTGAAATCTTAAATATATCTGAAATCTTAATCTAACTTAATTTGAAGAATA